TTGAAGTCAACGATATGTACAGTAAAACAGGTAAAGGTGGGTGCTTGCTGCAGTGTGTATGAGGTTGTGCCTATAAAAACAAAATACTTGAATCCTGCTACATTTGCATGCAGTGCGTGGAACAGAAGCACCTGAATCTGAAATGAGACTTCAGAATAATGCTTTAGTGCAAGCAAAACCAGACTAGAATATAATGCTGTGCCAGCCCAGTACTTTCCAGAACATCTCAAGTGTATTAAATATTTTTTGTACTTATCAGCTGCTGAGTGAATCTGTTATAAAAACCTAAACATATAAATGATCCTGTAAAAAGAGGGCTAAGGAAGAGAGATCTGTTGTGGAAACTCTGCCAAAAATACTAGAGACAGATGAAGAAGTCCTGAGAAAAAAGAATGAAATTAGATGTTATCACTAAAATGCAAAATGTAAAACATTGATATCTTACACTTCAGTGCGTCCTGTTCAGTGTTGTAATCCGTGTATTTCTGAACTAATAGTGACCAGAGTTATCAGGGTCTGTCTTCCTGAGTGTAGCATTGTTGTCAACATGCTTTTGATCAATAGGTAACTACAACTAGTTCTGAATTCTGAGGAACGAGAGGAAAATCTCGAGGGTAATGGTAGTTTTTAGTTTTCTGGAATTGCATATTTTGATATTGAGTTGGTAAAGATTATTACTGATTTTCTTTACCAAACTATAGAGAGCCCTTCATTATTTGAGGGTAATGATTGTGTGGGTTTTTTTTTCTAAAGCATGTGTTACGAAAATTACTATTAGCAGCTGTAGAATTGGAAGTGCTTTGATCTGGAGAGGGCTTTTTTTTTACTGGGAATACACTATGTGGGATAAGAGATTAGGTGATGATTTTAAAGGGCTATATTGTTTTCAAATTGTAGGTCATTAAAAAAATAAAATGAAAAGAGGATAAATTTTATGACAGATTGTATCTTGCCTCTACTTGAAGAAAACGTTAGTTTACCTTCAGAGCTGAAGGACTTCTCATTCTGGAAATCAGCAGGCTAATAATCCATTTTCCTTTAGCATGGTCTCATGTAAAACTGTTACAGAAAGCACCAGGGGAAAAAAAAATCATATGGACAGGTTTAGACGTCCACAAATGCCAAGTGGGAAGGCTTCACAACTTCTGTAAACTGAATGTTTGCACATTAGAGTGTGAATGCTGATTTTAACCTTTTCATATGGAATTCTGCATGCTCTGTAACTGACAGGTGAGAACTATGTTCCCTTATTGGCTTCCCATCTCTGGTGCTGCCTAGGCACAAGACTAGACAGAGGTCAGAAGCAGAACATCAGTAATAGAAACCAGGGGCTGAACGTAGGACAAATGTTGGGAGAACTGGAGCCACTGCTAAAACCTCTTCACTCTTGATACATGTAACAACTCACTTGGAAGTCAAACTGACGGATGTTTAGGGATTTCTCCTTGGTGCAGTGTTTTTCAGACTATGTGTATCCATAGTACGTTTTGATTCTGTCTATGCCCATGGTATTTGTGCCAATATTTAATTTTTTAAAAAACATTTATAGAACCTTAACAACTGTTGTTACATATACAATACTTCACGGAACAAATGCATTTTAAGGAGTTTTTTTTGTCTATAAGGAACTATGGAGGGGGTGCAGTATAGATCAGAGGCTCAGCCACTTTTTTTATATGTAGAGGGGAGCAGCTAACAATTCTATATCTTTCCATAAACCATGCACTGAACACTGCAAAAAACACTAGCTTTTATAGACTTCTGAGTTCTTGAAAGAAGACAATAACCTGCGTGGTGAGTGTGTTCGTACACAAATTTCTCCCTTGGTTGTGCTTTAAAGACAAGAAGTTAGGCGTGGCCTTCGTGTACATAGTGTAATTTGTGGCTGTGATGCAATGTCTTCTGCCTTTTCTTCCCTCAAGCCTTAAATCACCATTGATCATCCTGATCTTTCTGCCGTACCATCAAGCACAGGTTCACCGTATGTCCTATTTAAAAGAAATAGCTTGCATTTAATTTAGACTTTCTTTTTAATACATGCAATGTTGATTTGTGGTTTGCTGAGCCGTGAGAAATGCAGGACCTGCTTTGTGTGATTGCCTCCCGCTGTGTTCTGTGTTGAATGTTTGTTTTCTTTCCTGGACTAGAGTTTGCAAGGATATGACCGTGGTTTTGCTTGTCTGCAGGTGCAGGAAGTGCAACAAAGTCTTATTCTGGCCCATTCCACTGAATTATTTCCTCTCACTGGAAGCTCTTCTGTTGCTATCAATGCTACTATTTTAATTGGCAATTATGGTCAAATGTTATTTTTCAGGAATGTTAGTTTAGTGAATATTAACTAAACTGTTGGAGTTTTTGGCTGTTAATACTGGGTCTGAAATTTTTCACATTTGTCTGAGGCATCTATGTTTTCTGAATCTGGCTTGAACAGTAACCTAAGAAGAGGCTTGCATGAAAATTTGCAGCTCTCATACAATCTAAAAATATATAAAAATAGGGAGGTGAGGTTGATACCTTTTTCAAAGTTGTAGGTATTTGACTGATATTGACTGAGTCTTTCTAGCAAAAAGCTTTTATTACCCAGCTCTGCTAAATTGAGGGAAGGTTTGCAGTTTTCAACTTCATTCCTAAAAAGGATATTATAATACTAGTCATGTATTGAGACAAGTAAGATAAAGACAGTCTCTACCAGATTTAGGCTTCCATTTTAAACATTTATTTCAAACACATTTTGGTTTATAAACTTCCTGAGTTATGTACAGACAAGTAGTGGATAGTTTAACTGATAAAATAATTTTGTTGTTATTTTTAAATTTTCCTTTAAAAAAGGTTTTTAGAACAGTCACAATGGTTTCCCCAGTTCTAATTGCGATTAATTTCGATGCGGAGATTTGGGAAGATGGCAGAAGAAATAGAATGTGTTTACATTAAATATTTAATGCTTAAGAAATGTTTGATTTGTCAGCAGTGAAAAAAGATTAACAACCATCATTATTATTCACGAGGTATAGTGTTGGCATAGGAGATGTGTTGATACATCACTAGTGTAGGATTTATGACAAGACAGTAAGTAAAACATTCTGTTTACTGTTCCATTGCTGAACTAGACAAGGGGCAAATATAAATGATCAAATATCAACTTTTTTTTTTCTCCCTTAACAACTAGAATGTAGATTGTTTGCAAGTCTGCTGGTCTTGAAACTACTCCTTTAACTTAGGAGGCAGAGACTTAGTAAATTCAGGGTTCTTGGGTTCAGTGTGATAGATTGTCATGGAAGTGAAAAATCCCTGAAGGCCCTTGGTGAGCTTCCCTGGCAAGATACGTAGTGCTTGTGGACTCAGTACGGGTAACTTCCAGTTTAGTGTAGAGACAACGATTGAATTGTCACAGGGGGAACGAGCTGGGAGTTCTGGACTTCGTTAGCAGAAGTAGCTGCTGTTTAAGCTGAAGATCCGTGGCAGTGACCTCCCTGGGATACGCCGCCTGGCTTTCACGCATCGCATGTGATGAGTGGCTGTGAGGCCACGTTTTCAGAAACGGCAGGAAGAGAAGCTTAGGATATCCACTGGCTGTTGCAGCCTTGAGGTGCAAAGCAGGTAAACTTCTGAATGTTACCAACGCTTGACAAATAGTGCTTTTATTGTCATATACTGGTAGCTGTCAGGCTTTGTGTGAGCGCTGGGGCCAGTACCTGTTCTATCCACTCCCCAGCCCTTTCTTCTGAGACTCTTTCTTCCAGTTCTTGTCTTTCCCAGCTGACTAAGAGGCTTCACGCTCGGGAGATGCGCTGGCAACAAGGGGACTAGTAGAATCATTTTGCAGTTTTGTAGTGTGTTAGGTTGGTCTGTCACAGTATGTATCGTAATCTGTGAAAATAACGTATTTTGGGAATGATTTGCATTTTTTTGAAGCTAGTGATGCTCATGAATACTTATAGATGTAAATTAAAAAGAGTATCTTGCGTTTAAGGAGAAAGAAGTCGGAACAGTTGCTTCTGCAGACAATTTTAAACACTTCCCCTTTCACCAAATCCGAGGCCGTGTTCTGTGTTGAAAGCTGAGCAGTAATGCATTTCTTCATAAATTCTCCTCAGCCTGGCAGATTACCTTGCTAGTTATGGGAAATTGACCCTTACACTGATTTTGCTGTATTGCAACCTCTGTCTCCTTCAGAAAGTTTGCTATAGTCAGAAATAACTGTAATTCCTTTGAACTTAATGTTGAATTTTTTTTTTAAAGTATTTGTGCCACTACTTTTTTTTTCTGCCTCTCAAATTGCCTGTGATGATGTTTAAGAGAAGTGAGCCTCTTGTGGAAATTGGATACTTGTGCTGAGAGAATGGATATGGAGTTTCAGATTTAAATAGTATCTTTTTTTTTTTAATGTAGTGGAGAAAAAGCATGCTAATACTCTTTAAACTTCTGTGAAATTTACTGTGTTGTAATTTCAATTATAACAGTAGCTGCTATACATGCACTTAATTATAAGCTGTTTGAATAAAATTTTGCTCTTAATTGCTTGGTTTAGATATTGCTTACATTAAACATCTTTGCTAATCTGTTAACTTAATTCACCTGTGAACTTAAATACGTAGCAACTCCCACTGTTTCTGGTTAGGGAGAGAATAGAGACTGGTGCATGATGAAACGCTCTGCTGTTAGGTGTCTGGATACCTGTGTGTACCTGTGTGTCCAGTGCTTGTGTGTGAGACCTCTTGTAGCCATCGGTGGAGATGTAGTAAGAACACCAGCGAACTCGGGTCGTTTCTGTGTAGGCTATGATGTGGTGTTTATCACTTTCCATTGAGTTGACTTATCTTTAAATTAGGTGAACCTCACTGAAAATCAAATTTCATATATGAATGCTCAAATTACACCCAACATCAAAAAGCATTTTTATTTAATAGAAAGAGCTATTTTCTGCTCTTAAATTTCCACCTTTTTCTTCTGTTTTTGTTTTGTTTTAATTTTCTTTCTGTTTTTGTTGTGTTTTTTTTTAGTGAGTGACAGTTGCTTCAGGAACCTTGCTGAGGATCGTAGTGGGATAAACCTTAAAGATCTGGTGCAAGACCCTTCTTTGTGAGTATCTGGCTCTTATTGCTAAGCAAAGAAAAGCTTCTTCGTGATATCCTTGTGAGTAGTTTTGTAATTATATAAAGAAGTAGTATGATAAAGTACACTTTTAGTGCTTTAGTGGCGATATACTTGCCAAGTTGTTAGTCTTTAATACAGACAAGTGTTATTAAAACCACTTTGTTTTTTGTATCTGTTTGTGGACTAACATCCAGTAAACTGTACAAGAGCCATCAGAGGTAACAGATTGTGCATCTTGGTGTATGTATGAAGGATTTGTATGCATTGTTGCCCTGCTTTAAGGTGAAACTATATAAATGAGGAGATTACTGGATAATTATATTATCATCAGTTATCTGAACACATAGAATCCTTTTCTTTCTATCTAATTTCATACAGCTGATACTTATTTCTTCCTCTGCTAACTTTTTTAATTCAAGTATATGAGCAGATGATTTAATTTTTAATTCACGGCAAGAGTAGTGGTCTTCATTTCAGTGTTGTATTTTCCTTTAACGTGAAATTCACCCTCATGAGCTCTGAGCCAGATGTGAAATTGTATCAAACCTTTTTGTGTTTGATTTTTTTTTTTGTATTCTTTTCCTCCCTTTTCAGTTTACTTTAGTACTAGATGAAAATGTTCTTGCTAGGGTGTACAAGTGTACCACTGGTTTTGAGGAAAGGGAAAGAACAGAAAACTTCGCAATCAATAGCGCATTCCACAGTGGTTTGTAATATGATGGGCCTTTACACTGGCAGAGTACATTTTCCAGTGTTGATTGAGAAACAGTGGAACTTTTCAGTTACAGGGCATTTTTAGTAACGAATTAGGTGCAGAATTTGTTTTGTCATGTTGCTGCAGGTAAATGACATGCATATACACATACATTCTTGGGAATTTTGGACATAATGTGTGTAATATTTGATAATTTATACTTAGGAAAGTTGTCCTCTCTGCTTCTCTTGTATTATTGTTGCTTGAGATTCACAAAACACATGCGGTAGTAAAGTTTTAATAAATACTCTTCAAGTGTTGAAGTCATGGCTATTCAAAAGATCTTAATTTCCTACCGAAATTTGGCTTTTGAGTGGTTTTGATTGTTTGTTTAATTTAGTTTTTGAGTGTTGTATGTGTTTTTTTGAGTTGCAGGTATGCCTATATGCTATGTATAGTTTTGGTTGTGCGCCTCTGGAAATCACTTTCAGAAAGGATGAATTGCCTTTGTGGTAGAATGATCATTTTCCTTACTGTTTACCACAAACGATGGCATTATCTGCTTTCCTTCCCTGACTGTAACTTACATGAAGAAGATTGTAATAATTATTGTAATCTGCAGCATAAATGAAATGGATTTCTGTTGCTTAAAGCAATAAAAAGCATAAGTGACTGCAGCGTAGCCATTTTTTTCACTTTGAAAGATTGAATGAAGTCTCCGACCATCTGTTAGGTCTCAAGGACTCTTTGACACTTCTATTGTGTGACAGATTGTAGTGCAAGACAAGTTGTCTTCTGTTTGCCTAATGACAGGAATGTATAGGCTTAGTTTTGTCTTCCCAAACGGATATTCTTGCAGTCCTATGAGTAAGTGCCTATTAAGAATTCTTGCAAAATGTGTAATAGTGTGAGTGAATCTCCAAAATGAAGAAACGATCTAAGGCTATATTGTTCCGCTCAGCCTTTTACAGGTGATTCTGAGGTCCCACGATGTCTGAATTCTTTATTACACAAAGAGAAATGCAAAGGACAGTGTGGGGCTGAAGCATGAGAGTGCCAGCCAAAGGGATGTTTTAACCTTTTTTTTTAAATAAGAATTAAGTTGAATTAAAATTTTTAGAGTTTATATAAATAACAGAAAAACATTTGATTCATCATCTTAGCAGTTTAATATTTGTACTTTACGATTTCTTTGGTGCTCGTTTGCTATGACTGTAGACAAACTGCCTCATTTTTGTTTTGTGATCTAGTATCAGATGCCAACATCAGATTTACATAAAAACCTGATGCTTTCTTTGTAAATGACTCTGTTACTATAAAGGTTTGCAGTACATTTGTACTGTATGACACTAATAAAATAGTTTAACAAAGAGAGTGCAGGAGATTTTAGGCTCATTAGCATATAAATAGATAATCAGTGTATACTTCTAACAGGAGTTCACATTAATAGCAGATGACGGGTTAGCAGAGGTAGAAATACAGTATAATACACTAAAAGGATAGTATGGGGGGGGAAAAAGTTTAAGTGGTTTTAGGTTTAGGATGGTTTGATATGTCATGTAAAATGCAATTTGGATAGTGTCGATTTCTTGTGACACTTGGCTACTTCATACAGTTTTCTCTTGGCATCTCCCTTGTCGTCTGCCACTCTTGGCTCCAGCACAGACAACTTCTCTTTTGTTACTGCAGGAGGCTTTTTCTGGAGGGCTGAAAGTGTGTCTGTACGTTGAAATGAAAATATATAAAGACAGCATTGTAGGGTTTTTTCATTAGTGTCTGATTTATATTAAGTGTGCCTGATTGTCAAAATAGTCTTTTTCCTCAACTGATTTCCCAGCTAGAGCAGTCTGGACTCTCTAAATGTGATCTGCTTTTAATTCTCTTGTCATTAGTAATAACGGCTCGGCTGCTCAGATCAGGAGTTTGATCATTTATTTTACTCTGTCAGTGAAGACAGCTGCTTAAGAAAAATCCAAGCATATCAAACATAAAGTGAGGGGTTACTAACTCTGGGAGAAGGAAGCATGCAACAACTTTACAATTAAATCTCATTTCATATATAATTACAGAAAAGTTGAGTTTGAACAAAAAGTTGATTAGAGATTCAACTCAAAAGGTGGTTTGAGAGTTAAGTGCTTTTACACATTCATTGCAGATGATCACAGAATCATATAATGTTTTGAGTTGGAAGAAACATTTAAAGGTCCTATAGTCCAGCCCCCCTGCAGTGAGCAGGGATGTCTTCAGCTAGATCAGGTTGCTCAGAGCACCATGATGTCTTTGCTGTATCCAGTGTCCAATTCTGGAGACAAACATAGAGAGGTGTGCAGAATGGCAAGAGGAGAAGGCAGTTTGAAAGTGCAGTGCATGATAGGTGTTACTTATTTTAGAAAACAGTGGTGGAAGAGAGGAAGTATGAGTCTCCTACAGTATAGAAAAAGATTTTTAAAGGTTATTTTTTGGCCCATGAGAAAGAATTAGTTCAATTTATAGCAGATGAGATTGTTTAGGTAGTTGAAAAAATTCTAAATGTCAGTGTGATGAAGAAACTGTAATCAGTTTCTAAGAGTGTCAGGGAGAGCTCAGCAGATTACGATGTATGTGCATTTAATCCTGTGTAAGTGTAGAGAACTGGAAGGGCAAACTTTTTTTCTTGTTTCTTTCTTTTTTCTTCTCTTCTGAGAAAAAGCTATGCATTCTAACAGTTTGGCCTAAGTAACTGAACGTGGCTAAGAATATTCAAAGCTTGTAATTTGGTTTAGTTGATGCACCCACTGCCTACCATTCCAGTGATACATAAAAGATATTTAAAATTTTGCATTTAATGGAGGAGATTGATCTACTTGAGAAGACTGTAGATGCCTTTCCACGAATGGTCCTAACAGCAGAGCAGGTGTAATTGGAGGACCTAGGCTAGTGTTTCTTAGATGATGGTGCAGATGTTCTTCAGACTATATTCAGCTGAGGTAAAATACAATGGAACAGTTTAAGATGCTAGCAAAGTCCTGCTGCTGTGGGCAGATCCTTGAGGGTCTGTAGCAAGGCAAAATTTCTTAAGCTGGTGCTCAAGGAAAGACAGAAAATTGATCAGTTTGTTTGACTTCTTGCTCTGGAGCAGACTGAATAGTACCCTCTTTTTCTCCACCTTCAGTACCCTTTCTATGCTTAGGAGAGATATGGGTTACATAGAATTCAATATGGCTATCACCTGAAACTCCTCCTTTACTAATAATCTTTTTCTAAATTATTTTAAATACATATCTGAAGCGTGAACCATCAGATCATTAGAGGGTTAGGTATACCTTCACCTACTTCAAGTGGAAATTCTGTGTGTAGACATTCCCAAGTTTTAGCTTTTAATCTTTCTGTGCAATTCAGGAGCTACAGTTACACATAATTACTGGTACACATTTGTTTTGGAACCTTCTTCAGAGATTCTTTGAGAAGAGCAAAAGATTCTGAATAACTTCTTTCTAGGCAAAATCCCATTGTATCTAAACTGTGTTTCACATCTCACTTGTTCTAGAGGGACTTTCTAAAATTACTTTCTTTTTAGCACTGTACAGCAGAAATCTATCCAGATAGTGGCTTAAGAGAGTAGTTATCCCACAGTAATTCTTCTGCTTTCCTTACCTTCTTTCTCTATAACTGGAGTTTTACCATGGATTCTTCACTTATGCTTCTTCCCTTTAGCCGTGCTAACATATAAACATCACAAGAGCATAACCAGTACGTAAGTATATTTTCTATGGATGATGACAACCTTGAAGTTCAAAACTTGACATATCAAGGGGTCAAAAATTACCTCAAGTGGTTTTCCACAGAGTTACTTCAAAGAAACACAGTTAAACTACAACGGTAAATGCTTCCCTTTACACCCTAACTAATTCTCTTTTAAGTGGATTTCTGTTTTCCAATAAAGAACAAATTTGTGCTTCCATTTTTAATGAGGTCTTAATACTGTATAGCTTCAGATGACTGAGAACTGTTTCTATCCAAAACCTTATTTTCTGTGGAAACACAGGCTAGTGCGAGCTGCCCACCCTTATTAATTGAGAGTTCCTTAATTTATCAGAGTGATCTTTATTCTTCATGTCTTTTCTTTGTCTCTCCCTCATTGTTCTTCTTCATTTGAGGTAGTTGTGTATATATACAGTCTTCTCCAGACTATGAATTTTTGGTGCAGATTTGGTAGTTCTCACAGTTTTTATTCTTCTGTATGAAATAGGACACTACCTGAATGTTTGTAACAGAGCTTAGTTTCCCAGATTATTAGTTACCCTGATAGCAA